GACATATCGAATAACAATCTTAGAGGTCCGCTTCCAGATAGTATCGCCTTTCAAAGAGCTTCTCCCAAGGAATTAGCGGGTAACCCAGGTTTGTGCGGCGAAAAGGTGCAAGGTTTGCCCCCTTGTACTAGTCATAACAGTTCTTTTACAAGCAATAACAAAAACAGTAGACAAAAGAAACTGGTTATTGTTGTAACTGTTTCTGTCACAACTATTGCATTATTTCTTTTAGCTTTGCTTGGATTCTTCATCTTCCATTGTAAGACCAGAGGCATAATTGTGGAGGAAAACCATGATTCAGGAAGCAACAATTCATTCTGTGTATGGAACTACAATGGAGAATTAGTGTTCAAGGACATTGTCACTGTTACAGAAAGCTTCAATGAGAAATACTGCATAGGGAAAGGGGGTCAAGGGTGCATTTACAAAGCAGTGCTTCCAACTGGTGACTTCTTAGCTGTAAAGCGTCTTCATTCTTCACCATCATCGTCATCCCATGAAAATGAGGTTGCTCGGAATGAATGGAAGAAGAACTTTGAATCTGAAATACATGCTCTGACTGAAATTCGACACCGAAATATAGTAAAGATGCATGGATTCTGCTCTTACAACGGAACCATGTTTCTGGTGTATGAGTACGTGGAGAAAGGTAGCTTGGGAAATTTGCTGAATAACAAAGAAGCAGCGACATTGTTAGACTGGGAGWAAAGGTTGAAGGTGATCAAAGGGGTGGCGCATGCTTTGTCCTACTTGCACCATGACTGCTCGCCTCCCATCGTGCACCGTGACATTACAGGGAATAACATTTTACTGGACTCAGAGTTTGAGCCTAAGATCTCTGATTTTGGGACTGCAAGGTTGATAAGAGCTGGTGAATCTAATTGGACTTCAGTAGCTGGTTCATATGGCTACATAGCTCCTGGTTAGTTTGTTTACTAATTCAGACCCTACGTGTTAGCTTTCGTTCAACTTAATTTTTTTCACTTATGATTCCATTATGCTATACTGCAGAGCTTGCCACAACTATGAAGGTGACAGACAAGTGCGACGTCTACAGTTTTGGAGTTGTAGCATTAGAAGTAATCATGGGAAAACACCCAGGTGAAGAGCTTCTGTGCTTACAGAATGAAGAATATGATCTGCATCTTGGAAGTGCGTTAGACCAGAGGACACCACCACCTCCAGCCGGAACCATTAAACAAGAGATAGTTTTGGTGGTGACCCTTGCTTTAGCATGTACTCATGTCGATCCTAGTTCTCGACCCACCATGCTTCAGGTCTCTCGCCGATTATCAGCAAACAGAAGCCTGCCTTGTTCAGAGCCTCTTGAGATGCTGACATTGAAAAGTTTGAAGGATGTAAGGGATAAAATTCACATCAATTAAATGTTTGTAAAATAGAATAGGGAGTGTTGTGTTTGGCCTCTTGGGTTTGGACATAGACGGTATTATTATAAACAAAAAAAAAAAGCTATTATTATAAACAAGACCAACACCCCTATATACATAGTTAAAATTGATGTGTGGCAATGGGGTGGGACGGGGAATTGAAGGGGAGCCACTCCACTTTCCATCCCCTTTTTCGCGAAAATCCCCATCCCCATTTTCATTCTTGACAAGGTTGTTCCCATCCCTGTTCCCACAAGGATCTACACTTTAATGATTTTTTATAATGTCAACTATTTTATTTTTATTTTTATTTTATTTTAAAAATAAAAAATAAAATAGTTAAAATTTACAATTCTATTAAAAAAGATTCAAATATATTCAATCATATTTTTAAAAATATTAATATGCATATATACATACATGCATATATTGACATATGCTTACATACATATATACATATATATTAGTGGAGATCGGGGTCCCTATGGGGTAGGGAGTGCTCTCCCCATCCCTATCAACGGGGATGAAAATTTCCCCGTCCCCTTCCCTGTGGGGGAAAATCATCCCCATCCCTTCCCTAAATGGGGTGGGTCCCCCCCATAAGGATTGGAGAAATGAGAAAAATTGACATCCCTATACATGCAATTACAGGAAAACACTCATGAGTCTATTTAATTTAAAGAATTAAAAATGTCATCATCGTCATCATCATCAATGCCCTATTTCAAAAGTATATTATGGGCATTTTGGTCATTTGAAATTTGAAAATTGGCATTTTTTTGGCAACTTAACAAATCAAGGAGTATTAGTATTACAATCTTTTTGTCATTCTGTCGGAAAACTAATAAAGGGATGGGATGTTTTAGGTGGTTCAATTTATGGTTTTAAATAAGGGTGGTATG